CAGGAAAACCATTTGCAACACTGTCCTAATTCAGCATTCCGAGCGATGCGGCAGTACATTCATCACAGATCAGCTTACTATCTGAGGCAGAAACTGTCGCCGGCACTACTTGATGTTTGATACGGTGTTTGGTTGTGTAAAGAAGGGAATAAACATGTGGCTCTATAAAGTGATAAGACTGAAATGCCAATTGCCCGTGTGACATTCGCCAAATTGTTTTCGCATTTAACGTCCGTTCTAACTTAGTCATAAAATAATGAGAATCATGCACATTTTCTCTTATATATTCTACATTTCCTTGCAATTCTTCAAAAACAATGCAAAAATACATTTGTTCCTGATAATATTTTCCGGATTCGAAGAACAAAGCTGCAGTCCTTGAGTGTAAAAATAATATGGCTGACACATTTGGCCGTTCTATGATGCAGGACAACGTTTTAAAAATATGAGCGAAAAAACACATCCGACACTTGACTGAACAGATTTAGAATCATCTCATATAGTCTTCAGTCCCAGTTGTAAATAATTGTTATTAGTTCAGAGATCAAACTTACAAGCATATATTATGCAATATACTGATTAAAATAGAACAAGCTTTTCAGTTGAAACGAGGTATGAATGTTTACATCCAGACGTTTGTTATCCCCGGTGACAGGCTAAACAAACGTCTGGGTGTAGGCCTAAAGATTGTGTGAAGCAAGCACCTGATTCCTTCAAAATGTATTCTGTTGTACATCAATCTTAAAATATTTACAATGTTTGTTTCATTTAATTTCCTAACAAAATTCTGAAGTACAAGCGGAAAACTTACCCACCGTTTACGTCCTAACACGAGTGACACGTCCCACTGCCAGTCAAGGAACGCAAGAAACGCCTTGACTGGCGAAGGGGCGAGCTATGACGTCAGTGTGACGTGTATGGTTAGGAGCATGGCATAGTTTGGCGCTCGGCTGCTTGTGCCGATCACTCTAAGATAATACAGTGTGGAGTGATACTAGATCTTACTACCGCCTTACCATATTTCGTTTCAGATTGTATGTTGAGGTAAAAAAATAAGCCTTCTTCATTGGTTAAAGAAATATACCTCATCATCGTGCGTAAAATATGTCTTTATTTATATTCTAAGATGCTTTGCTAAAAGATCAAAGGCACCGACTATACTTTATCCTGCGACAAAGCATTGTGTCGGCGTGAAGATCCGGGGTAGAATAGGTCTTGAGCAACCCATGCTTGCCGAAAATGGTGACTATGCCTGTCGTAAGAGGCGACTAACGGTATCGGGTGGTCAGGCTCGTTTACTTGGTTGATGCATGTCATCAATCCTAATTGCGTGGATCGATGTTCATGATATTAATCACTGCATGGATTGTCTGGTCCAGATTCGATTATTTACAGACCGCCGTCATTTAGCTGGAATATTGCTGAGTGCGGGATGGCCCAGTCGTCTAAGGCGCCGCAATTCGCTGTGCAGAGTTGCGTCCCTTGGGCACGCCAGAAACCTATGATTGTAGGTTCGAATCCCGGTTCGCCCCGATTATGTTTCTAGGTTTGTCAGCACCCACCGTGCTCGTGGGTTTCACCAAAGTGGTAAACTTCTGAGACCTGCATCACTTCGGGCTTTCCTCCCACATTAAGCTGACACGCCGCGATATAACTGGAATACTGTTAAAAGCGGCGTTAAACACAACTCATTGACTGACTGAGTTACGCAGCTTCAGTCGGCGTCGTTCATTATCAAACCTGTTTTCGTATCCTTGCCAAATCCAGTCGCGTGATGTGCGTCCTGGAGGGAATGGTCCGACGACCGTTCATCCTTCCGAGACATTCATGTGCTGGCGCACACTCATACAAGGTTTGATACTCACATGAACTTTACTAAGCTTTAGTCCATCCATGAATACACCATTAACACCATTAACTGGACAGGACAGGCTCGTCATCGAATGGGCAACTGGAGTGACCGAGGTTCGACTCGATCTATTGACTGTTACGTAACGACTCCATCTATTGACTGTAAGATTGTTTGTATCGGATAATTACCGATAACAACTGACCAGTTACTTAACCTTATCACAAGCAAACACAGCACCGTAAGCTATCGCGACGATAGCCACCATTTTGAATGTTGAATGTCTGAAACATTTCGGCCACTGACAAAGTGATGAAGTGTTGCCTTGTCGCTGTTACATTTCGTATTGCTTATATTCAAAATCTTTACTGAACATGAAATTTGACCGTAAATGAATGCGCTCAGGTACTTAACTCGGTCACAACAATAACACATGTGCATACTTAAGTCCGTAAAGTAGGAGCTAAATCTGTGGGTTAAAGACACGTTGGTTATCTGAAGTTTGATGTAGTAAGCATATAAACATCATCCAAACATTATTGGGAAATATGATCTTTATAATTTATCAATAAAGGATCGTCAAAAAGGATATGCTGAATGACTATTATTTCGCGCCGCTTTTAACAGTATTTCGGTTATACCACGGTGTGTCAGCTTGATGTAGGAGGAACATCCGAAGTATGGTATGGTGCTGGGATTCGGCGATCTCTGCACGGCGAACTGCGCCGCCTAAAACGACTGGGTCAAACGTGCCTACTCATTAATTTGAAAAGTCGTCGGAGACGGGAGTGAAATGAAAAAGAATTTTCTTTCTTGTCTGTCTGTCCCTTTGTATAGATAAGATAACTATATTTACGGGACTAAATGTTGTTCAACTGGACTCTCCTAAAAGAGTCAATATTATTCTGCTTTGTCTCTTAGTGGGTAAGCCAGCTAGCTATACAGGTGTACGGAACGGTATCTATACCTGCTATATACCAGTTAACAGAATATTTATCTATGTCTACAGAGCGTTAGAAACCCCTTGACAATGCGGTTCTGACAATTCAATCAGGAAGACGAGTTATTTTAAAATGGAACTCGGAAAGGTGGCAATGTTTCATCTTGTGTAGTTATTCTGCGCCGGAACCTTCGGCGTCTGTGATATAATAGCTATAACTCCTGTATCCATGATCAGAATCTATATTCCTGTAGAGCGTTTGAAACATATAGACAGTGCTGTATAACTTTTTTCTTCCGTCTTATCAGAAAAACAGTTATTTGAAAGGGACTCAGAACGGTGGCAAGTTTGCTTTCAAAATCCTTATCCTTATTCTGAATCAAAATTTATTTAAATTATTGGAATGACCATGTGCATGGGGTTAGGGGGTTGTGGGCTGAAGAAGTCGTGAATGCCGATGATCTGTATGATGATGGAGGCGATGGACATCGATGTTGAAAATGATCAGCCTGCATGTGAAGCGTCTGTTGGTGCACAGTGTTGGGTCAAGTACATGTACGGCGGAAGGATATTTGCTGTTCAGTTTCCGTCTATGACTTGTCACAGTTTTGTGTTACTTCGCGTCCTCCGCCGTGATACTGCTGGCATATTGCTAAAAGCATACTCACTCACTCCGCGTGTCATACAAAGATACCTTTCACAGATATGTCAGGCACTGTTATCACACTGACGTCGGATTTTCATTCATGCTTCAAACTAATTTTCTACACTAATGTTCCCTAATAACTCCTTCACAAACATAAAAACTTGTGTTCCGGGTTGGGGACCCAACTACTGACATCTATACCCCTATGTATGTATTCCAGTATGGAATTAATTATTCGTACTCTTGGGGCGCTATTAAAGCTGAATGCATGTATTTGGTGATAAATGTCCCCGTTTAGCAAAATGTCTATATAAATGGTTAACCAAATCAACGCCAAATGAAAATGGCAGACAACATTCCATGCAACTAGGCCTAATGTATATAGCACGAAAACCAAACTATTGTGTCTGTATCATAATTCTCCACGGGACATCTGTCAATGTATACTATAGATCACGCTTTTACTTTGTGTTTTTCCACCTGATCAAGGTAAGACCAAGTGATGAAACTAGACCCGTGACTGCAAATGCATAAATTGACAATGCAAGAGATTAACCAATCTAGATTATCCGCCGAAACAGATTCAATTTTGGATATAGAGGGCAAATAGAGGTAAAAAAATGTGAATGACCACTGAAAATCAGTGATGTCACCAGGTGTTCGCGAAAAGGATGAGCATGTCCTGACCTACGGTTAGCGTCCGCACTGTATGGTGGCATAAGCCCGTACCGCAATAAAATATTCTCCCTTGAACAGCTTGTTTTTTCAACTATATGAAATAGTTTTCTAATAAATCTATGGGATGCGTGGGTAATGGAAATAATAATAGTTGAAAGTAAACCCTATGTTTACATGCCCAGTTAACTCTTTGCCGACATGCTCTGTAAGCCGTATGGTGACATGGCCTAGGAACCGTATCTCGACATGCTCTGTAAACCCTATCTCGACATGCTCTGTAAGCCGTACGCTGACATGGCCTGTGAAACGTATCTCGACATGCTCTGTAAGGCCTAGGTTGACATGTCCTGTAAACCCTATCTCGACATGCTCTGTAAGCCGTATGCTGACATGTCCTGTAAACCCTATCTCGACATGCTCTGTAAGGCCTATGTTGACATGCCCCCTAAGCCCCATGAAAACATATCTGTAAGCCACATGTTGACATGCCAAGCAGACCCTATGTCGACATGCCATGCAAACCCTATGTCGACATGTTGACACGCCCTATAAGCCCAATGATGCCATGCTCTGTAAGCCCCAATGTTGCCATGCCCTGTAAACCTCATGTTGACATGCCCTGTAAACCCTATGTCGATATGCTCTGTACGTCATACGTTAACATACACTGTTAACCCATTTTTTTAAATGAGCTTAATTCACGGTCTCCACGTTTGAACATAGAATGCATGCATTCGATATATTGTTTGAAATTCATGACATACATTTATCTTTTTTTTTCAAAGGAAATAATATATTTCATGCATCTATCGCATGGCATGTTAAGAGAGACGGTTGTAAATTCAGCAACACAACCGTTTCCATAATATTTTCCATAAAAGTCTCACCTCCTGCAGCACCAGGAAACATAGGGGGCGATGTGGTGGATGGCACTTGCGTCAACGAGGATGTAGACAGCGACGTTTCATTAACATCGTTCTCTTCAATCTCTTCTCTCATCACACAGCTTGTATTCAGTGCCATCATGTCCTCCGTAAGAACAGTGATTCTTTGCTTTGAGTCATGCAGATCATCAATGGTCTGATTTAATTGATTGTTTAAACTCTGAATGTCAGTACTGAACTTTTGCTGCATTCGCCGCAAGCCCACCCTGCATGATTGGTTATCATTGTTCAGTCGTTCAAGCGCTTGACTCATCTTCACACAACTTGTATTCAGTGTCATCAGATCCTGTCTGAGAACAGTGTTCACAATCTTTGCATCATGAAGACCAGCTTCCGTCTCATTCAGCTGCAGCTGTAAACTATGGATGTCGTGGGTCAGCTCGTCACGTAGTTTTACATTACTCTCTTTGAAAGTGTCTCTCTCCCGTTCAACGTGTCTGAACTGTTGTGTTACTGCCTGAAGTTGTGTCTTTGTGTTGTGTATACTTGCCTTCAGGCTGTTGACTTCGTCCAGAACACGTCCGCTAATCATATCTTCAATGTAACCTTTTTTCAGGATGTCAGTTATCGCTTGTTTCACTAGACCCTCCATCAAGGCAGGAATGAACGTGCTAGTCAGATTCTCTTTCAGTGATGACCCCAACGTGCTAACTTTATGATTCATTTTAGTCTCAAGATTAACAGCTGTATGTTTCCATGCGTTGATCTCTCCCTCTAGTAGGTTCAGTCGGCCATTGAAAGCTGTCAAACTGGTGTCAGCATGTACGACACTGACACCACACAACGACACAAGACCGATGACTATTACTGTTGATACCGTCTCCATGGCGCAGTTTACTGTATACGGCTGCACTGATGCGGGATATATATACCATGGCCCGACTCAAGTGTTTGGCCGAAAGCCAGCTCAGGGAAACAGATGCTCTATAAGTACTTCCTGTGTGTACATGTGCCATCGTAACAGCAAACATGACTAACAGCAGGGTATGAAATTTCACCTGAAATACTTGCCAGCCCTGACCAAAACCTACCTGCCCACTATAATCATATGTTTCTCAGGATAAGCTAACGGGGTTTCTTTTTAGTTACATTTAATCATTCATCTTTACATGTGAATTAATGCTTATCATCGGGAAATATTTAGAATATTTTTTACATATGAAATATAACCCGACCGTCGGGCAGGGGAATTTGAAAATCTGGCAGCCCGAGTTGAAATCAACCCGTCTCGGACGGTCGGGCAGGCAGGTATTTCGAACACTGCTAACAGCTTCATCAGAATATTGCGTTTCATACGCGGAATACTTCTAACGTTTGTGAATTTATATTGTAAAAAAGGAGGACGTAAAACGCACTCAAACAATTTAGTGTACTTTAAACAGACAGTACATTTTTACATTATCTTACAATACTTTATGGTGGATCCAACAAACACGCCGATTTACTAAAACATCCTAAATAAGAATGTCAGCTTGAACCGTTTGACTTTGCAAGGATTATGATTTAGTTCAGTTTACATGAATTGTAAGTGGAAATATCAGAGCATCAGTGATTGCATAAAGTCCCCGTTTAGGCAAGTTGAGTTATGGCAAGCCTAGCCGATGTCAGTGTGACCTTACACGGGAACCACAGTTCAGCAAGGGGCTGTGGATCTCGAAACTCGGGACAGGATCTGTTTGAAAAAATAACACAGCTCATAATTTTATGAAAATAAAAAAAACTCGACCTCTACGTGCTTGTTAATAAATCTTTTTTTCAGGTGAATAATTGACATGCCTTTGCATGCGTTTGTGACGGGTTCAACCGGTAGGACAGGGTGCGCTCATCGTTTCGCAAACACCTTCGATCATCACTATTTGATAGTGATTCATAAACACATGCTCGTGATATAGTCTGAATACTACAATCGACTCTGGTTTTGGAAGAGATTTCTTATAAATATGGAAAGGCTTTTGTGGCATTCATGTTCGAGGATTGTAAACGATCATGTGCCTCAATTTGTAAAAGTGTTCTGTGCCTCTACGCCAATCTATTCTTTTCATAAGTCAGACAATTTTAATGTGGAGTCTTGCTTCCACCAGCTAAGAAATATAACTTATTTCATCAAGTATAGTATATATTTGCTATTATAGAATTCTAGAGTATTTTTATTACACAAAAAATATCACAATATTAACAGCAACATTTCTCGCTGTTTGTACCCAGTATGTATGCGGGAGACTGTTACCACTTTCCTCAAATATATGTGTGTAGCCTTTGTGAGATATATGTGTGTAGCCTTTGTGAGATACATGTGTGTAGCCTGTATGTATGCGGGGCACTGTTCTTACCTTTTTGAGATATATATGTGTAGCCTGTATATATGTGGGACACAGTTCCCACCTTTGTGAGATATATGTGTGTGTAGCCTGTATGTATGTCGGAGACTGTCACACTTTTGTGAGATATATGTGTACCCTGTGTGTGTGCGGGACACGGTTCCCACCTTTGTGTGATATATGTGCGTAGCCTGTATGTATATGGGACACTGTCACACTTTTGTGAGATATATGTGTACCCTGTATATGTGCGGGACACAGTTCCCACCTTTTGTGACATATATGTGTGTAGCCTGTGTGTGTGCGGGATACTGTTCCCACCTTTGTGAGATTTATGTACGTAGCCTGTATGTATGTGGGACACTGTTCCAACCTTTGTGAGATATATGTGGGTAGCCTGTATGTATGTGGGACACTGTTCCCACCTCTGTGAGATATATATGTGTATCCTGTATGTATGTGGGATACAGTTCCGACCTTTGTGAAATATATATGTGGGTAGCCTGTATGTGAGCGGGACACTGTCCCTACCTTTGTGAGATATATGTGTGTAGCCTTTGTGAGATATATGTGTGTAGCCTATATGTATGCGGGGCACTGTTCTTACCTTTTTGAGATATATATGTGTAGCCTGTATGTATGTGGGACACTGTTCCCACCTTTGTGAGATATATGTGTACCCTGTGTGTGTGCGGGACACTGTTCGAACCTTTCTGAGATATATTTTTGTTGCCTGTATGTTCGCGGGGTACTGTTCCCACCTTTGTGAGATATATATGTATGTAGCCTGATTGTATGTTGTACACAGTTCCCACCTTTGGGAGATAAATATGTGTGTAGCCTGTATGTATGTGGGACACTGTTTCCACCTTTGTGAGATATATATGTGTGTAGCCTGTATGTATGTCGGACACTGTTCCCACCTTTGTGAGATATGTATGTGTGTAGCCTGTATGTATGTGGGACACAGTTCCCATCTTTGTGAGATATATGTGTGTAGCCTGTATGTGTGCGGGACACAGTTCCCACCTTTGTGAGATATATGTGTGTAGCCTATATGTATGCGGGGCACTGTTCTTACCTTTTTGAGATATATATGTGTAGCCTGTATGTATGTGGGACACAGTTCCCACCTTTGTGAGATATATGTGTGTGTAGCCTGTATGTATGTGAGACACTGTTCCCAATTTTGTGAGATAAATATGTATGTAGCCTGTATGTATGTGGGACACTGTCCCACCTTTGTGAGATATATGTGTACCCTGTGTGTGTGCGGGACACTGTTCGAACCTTTCTGAGATATATTTTTGTTGCCTGTATGTTCGCGGGGTACTGTTCCCACCTTTGTGAGATATATATGTGTGTAGCCTGTTTGTATGTTGGACACAGTTCCCACCTTTGGGAGATAAATATGTGTGTAGCCTGTATGTATGTGGGGCACTGTTTCCACCTTTGTGAGATATATATGTGTGTAGCCTGTTTGTATGTTGGACACAGTTCCCACCTTTGGGAGATAAATATGTGTGTAGCCTGTATGTATGTCGGACACTGTTCCCACCTTTGTGAGATATATATGTGTGTAGCCTGTATGTATGTGGGACACTGTTCCCACCTTTGTGAGATATATATGTGTGTAGCCTGTATGTGTGCGGGACACAGTTCCCACCTTTGTGAGATATATATGTGTGTAGCCTGTATGTATGTGGGACACAGTTCCCACCTTTGTGAGATATATATGTGTGTAGCCTGTATGTATGTGGGACACAGTTCCCACCTTTGTGAGATATTCATGTGTGTAGCCTGTATGTGTGCGGGACACAGTTCCCACCTTTGTGAGATATATGTGTGTAGCCTTTGTGGGATATATGTGTGTAGCCTGTATGTATGCGGGACACTGTCCCCACCTTTTTGAGATATTTATGGTTGTAGCTTGTATGTCTGTGAGACACTGTTCCCACCTTTGGGAGATATATGTGTGTAGCCTTTGTGAGATATATGTGTGAAGCCTGTATGTGTGTGGGACACTGTTCCCACCTCTTTGAGATATATATGTGTGTAGCTTGTATGTATGCGGGACACTGTTCCCACCTCTTTGAGATATATATCTGTGTAGCCTGTATGTGTGCGGGAGACTGTTCCCACCTTTGTGAGATATATGTGTGTAGCCTTTGTGAGATATATGTGTGTAGCCTTTGTGAGATATATGTGTGTAGCCTTTGTGAGATATATGTGTGTAGCCTATATGTATGCGGGACACTGGTCCCACCTTTTTGATAAATATATGTGTAGCATGTATATATGTGGGACACTGTTCCCACCTTTGTGAGATATATGTATAAAGCCTGTATGTATGCGGGACACTGTTCCTACCTTTGTGAGATATATTTGTGTAGCCTGTATGTGTGCGGGACACTGTTCCAACCGTTTTGAGATATGTGTTGTGTAACCTGTATGAATCTTTAAGCACAAGCAGGCACGTTTTAAAACTTTTGCCCTGAAGCCAGTTGATCAGACAGAGACCATATACATATGTAGTACAAACAAACTCACTCACTCTATTTCGAGTATTCAGCAGAGAATAAGTATTCCCGAGTATTCAGTAGAGAATATGTATTTACTAGCTGTGGGGTGAGATATCAGATTTTACAAGCAGTCGAACAGGAAAGTTCCAACCGAAGGGCCATACTGAACTTGTTCTTGTGTGGTATGAGTTGTGTCCTGTGCTGTTCGTTGTTAATGTTTCATCTCAACAGCGGAACAAGCCCACACGTAAATGATGGCTAAAATACATCTTGCCTTGGAATGGTTGTCAAAGTCTTCAATTTGTATGTACATGTAGACATTCAGTCAACGTGATTCAGTGAATTATGTCAAATGTGCTCTTGAATGTGAAATATTGACAGACCCACCAAGGAAGATATCGATGGAAAATTATTATCACATAACACCGCTGATCCAGTTAAATTCCCCATAGAATAGAACTATATAATACTGAATATTAGTAAGTGTGTGATCATGTACATGTTCATAGAAGTAATGTAGATACCACCGTCATATAACTGGAATATTGCTGACATGGAAACATTTGAAACTTGGCACTCTTCTATCTGGGAAGTGTGACATCCTATTTATAGCATCGGCATGCAAAGACGTCATAATAGTGATTTCATGTGGAGTTAAAACGAGTATGTTTCACTTCATTTTCACTTTGGGTCCAGTTAATATTCTACGCAACACATTTCTGGTGTGACCGTGACATTGAACTGAAGAAACAGTAAAACTGTGACATCAAATAACGACCAGGGACCGGGACATCGAATGGTCAGAATCACTGAAGCTACTAAGACCTTTTATCTGCAGACACTTGTAATAGTGGACACGCATGGCTGTTAGAAGTTCTTCGTAGGTGGAGAGCGTATACGAGTTTACTGTTTTAGATATCTCTTGGTAGTATAAATCTCTATCAAATCAATTTATGAGTCAGCTGAGAAGACTACTAATCGTCACCACCGACAGGGGTCTCCAACAGCTACCTAAATCTACTGTACTGTATGCGGATGATACATTCTACACATCTCTTAGATCAGATTTATGCCATCCACGGCGATCTACGGGGTCTTGCCTTTGCTTCCATCTACTGTCTACTACCGAACAGAAGTGATGAAGGGCGTGTATCCAGTTGCTAAATAAAATAGGATTTTACCTCAACCCTTCTGTGTTCAGTTGGTCTTCAATCATGTAGTCCTGCGCCATGACTGTGGCATTTATATATATACAATTTATTTCTGTTACTCAAAGCCTGGGCAAGCCTATATCATACTGAACAAAGACTAGTTTCCTTTATTCGACACCCAGCAGCTTCAATCCACAAACGAAACCAACAGCTCCAACCCACAACTGAAACGCACAGCTTCAACCCACAACCGAAACAAAAAGCTTCAATTCACAACTGAAACACACAGCTTCAATCCACAACCGAAACACACAGCTTCAAATCACAACCGAAACGCACAGCTTCAATCCACAACCGAAACACACAGCTTCAATCCACAACCGAAACACACAGCTTCAAATCACAACCGAAACACACAGCTTCAAATCACAACCGAAACACACAGCTTCAATCCACAACCGAAACACACAGCTTCAATCCACAACCGAAACACACAGCTTCAAATCACAACCGAAACACACAGCTTCAATCCACAACCGAAACACACAGCTTCAATCCACAACCAAAACGCACAGCTTCAATTCACAACCGAAACACACAGCTTCAATCCATAACCGAAACACACAGCTTCAAATCACAACCGAAACGCACAGCTTCAATCCACAACCGAAACACACAGCT